AGTAGGGATTACTAGTGGGGAATCAGACGAGACTTCCATAACAATCACAGCAAATACGACTGAGTCATTTACGATTGCCCGCTCAAATTCTGTAGGGTTAATCACATGTAATCCTTTCCTCTTAACAATTTTTTTGGCTTAGTGTAAGTCAACAGATTTTGGGGGTAAAGGATTAAGGTGAATCTTCTTTCCTATAAATACGAATGCAGATGAATTTGATCGTCCATGGATAGTTACATCCAAATCGAACAACCAAGGTCGACCAAGAATGACATGTTCGACATCCATAGGGATGACGTCACACCATATATGATCCTTATACTTAAGGAACTGGATCGGCACCAGACAACGCTCTTTTACAGCTATAGAAGAAGTGTCAGCCCAAGAGACACTATACGGTTGGGGGTGCGGGACTGACTTCAACCCAAGATGGGACACTGTGGTCACAGAGACCGCGTTAATACAATTTCCACTGTCAACAATAATCTTACAACCCTTATCATTGATCTTGATGTAAGTATGAAAAATAGCATGATGACGCCAATCATCGACATCCTTAGTTTGGGTAAGGGTACAATATACAACACTTAATCGAGAGGTGTCGGGGGCCAAAGAAGCAGGACCTAGACCTACAGGAAGGGTACGAAGGTAACCTAAAAAGGTATCCTCATTATCACCTAAATCGTCAAATTCTTCAAAGTTAGGCTCATAGACTTGATCTTCTAAAGGCTCATCAAGGGCATCCTTTCGCTCGTCAATAACTAAAGCTCGGCTCGGACATCTAGAGGGATATGGCTGAAACCCTTACAATTGAAGCATTGCAAATGAGAATCAGTTCTTGAAGTTTCTGGAGCTTTACTTTATTGTCTAAAGCAGGGAGTGTGTTAGACGGTGGGGGTCCTAGAAGAGACTTGGCGAGAGGAGGTGGTGCTGATGAGATAGATGGACGGTTATCACTACGCCTTACATACGGAGTCTTAGTAATCGACTCGTAATCTCGAACTAAGGAATAAGCGTGATAGAGAGTGGTGACACCTCAAAGGACAAGTTCACGCCGAAGATCATCTCTTAGGCCCTGTCTGAACCTACTTAAAGTCATAGCTTCATCCTCGACGATGTGGCATCGTATTCGGAACTCATCAAATTGAGTAACATAGTAAGTCACTGGACGGTTTCCTTGTGTGAGGGTATTCCACTGGTCCAACAAGTTGCTCCTATAAGAATGGGGTAAATACTTTTCTTGAAGGCGGCACTTCATTTCCTCCCAACCTCCAACGGGAGGTGCACGACGCCTCTCAAGAAGGTCCTCAACGCTTTCCCAAAAGAGTTGGGCAGTACCAGTTAATTTCAAACTGGCAAATTGAACTCTTCGATCCTCTGGGACTCCATACCATGAAAAGAAGCGATCCATATCTCTAATCCACTGTGTAAAAACTCTAGGATCTAAACAACCATCGAAAGTAGGAGCGTCTAATTTGATGTTTCGAAAGTAACGCTCCTCATAGTGATGAGGTGAATGAGTACCATAAGGGTCATGGTCTCGTTCATGATTGTACTCCTATTTCCCATTCCTTCGACCATGACGAACGCGCTGTCGACCACCATATCGATGATGATAGGGTATGTTATGAGACGCTTCAAAGTTATCACGTCGGTTGAGGGAGAGGTTTGTTCTAGATTGTTCACCCTAGCAGCTAGTTCTTTACTCTCTTCACGAGTAGCAGTCACATCGGTTTGGACGGTTGCTAATTGAGCCTGTAGTTGAGTTAATTGTCGAGCAAGGGCATCAAAGTGAGAAGGGTCCATGATCACAGTATTGGAATTGTGCATGACAAAACGACTACTGCGCAAATGCATGCAATGTAACACTAACTGAATGTAGAGAATGACGAGATCAATAAACAACTAGTTTAAGAAATGAAAATAACAACTTCAGCATTTAAATTTTTATTTTTATTAATTAATTAATTAATTAATTATTATTATTATTATTATTATTATTTTTTGAATTATGAAAGTTCAAGTGTGTCAAGTTGATATTGTTGGTCTATGTAAAATAATAAAGCTAGGGTCAAACATTAGTCAACGACATAAACATGTAAAGTAAATGGGGGTAAAGGTGAAAGTACGACAAGGGAATTTAATCACGTGAATTTTATGTAAATGCGGCAGCACAAAAGTTAATCGATACAATTCAAGAGAAACAACAATATAAACTGAGGATAAATAAAAACAATGACTTTCCTTTCGTTCGTTTGAAGAGGCTATGTCCAATCAACTGGAATGAAAGAGGTACTTGAAAAACGATGCTAGAAAAATTTCCTTTTTTTTTTTTTTTTTAATACAAATAAAACTTCTAACCAAGCAAATGGACCAAAATAGACATACAAACGGGGGCCCAAAACAAAACTAAAATACAAAATACTCGAACTTCAAAATAAAACAAAATACAAAAATAGGGCCTAAACTAAGGCCCAGATAAGAAGTATCACAAGGACCCAGCATAAGGAATTTGGCCGAAAGGAACCAAACAACAATCTGTGAAACCTGAAGACTCGACGTTGGCTCTGGAATCTAGAGGACGGTGGTGACGCGATGGGCTTCTGGAAAAGATGCGGCATCTGCTTGGGGTGGATTTACCAGCATGAGGTGGTGGCTGAACCGGTGGGTCGTCAGTGCAAGATGAAAAAAAAATGAGTGGCAACAAACTGGGTATTGCCTGTGCGGGTGTTGTTGGCAATAGAGGGATGGGCTGATTCGAGTGATGGTGATGAGAAGGAGTGCGGTGGAGACAGCGCGGCTCTTACTGATGCATATTAGAAGTACAGAATATTGCATTAAATTTGTGACTCAGTATTTTGGGTCTTGGTGTTTCCAGAGATGGTTGGTAGTGAATTATTGAAGGTGATGAGTCGCTTGGATGTTGATTGTGTGGTGAGTGATTACGGTGTTAATGATTGTGGGGGGTTATTTTTTGTGAGTGGACGTTGTGGTGGGTTTAGGTTGCTAGAATGGTATATTTTGTGGTGTCTTGGAATCTGACAGTTTTTGTGAGATTATTGGCAGTTACTATCGTTGGGCTTGTGGTGTGGATAGTGGGCTGTAGTGGAAGACGTTGGTGTAATCGGAGATTTGAAGCAGTTGACCGGAAGTCATTTCTGTATCTCAATTTTAGACCTCTCCCAAATATGAAGTTGAAGGAAGGTAGGTCTTGGGTGAGATTATAGGACTGCAGACGATGGTTAATTTGAGAAGATGATAGGACAAAACTTCGGGATGAGCTTTGAGTTGATGAACAACTCGCCGCCTCACAAACTGATGGTAAGAGGTTGATGTAGTGAACTAATACCCAGGTTTCGCTCTGATACCAAGAATTGATGTAGAATCAATCAGAAAGAAGAGGCAGAATACCGAAGTAGAATGAGAGAAGAAGAAGAGAATGAGCACGTAAGAAAGAAAAGGGAGAGAAAGGGGGGAAATTGGGCACAACAAGCCAAGGATAATTTCATTCATCAACTGATCCTTCAATCCAAATTACAATCATAAATAACAAAACAATAAACTTGGGCTTGGGCCAACCCATATACAAGCTCAATGCAACATAAAGTCTAAATTAAATAAATAGAAGGTAAAAGGCCCAACAAATGGCCTGATGAGAATGATGTCCGCATCAACAAACATCCAAAGTTTTGGAGCACGACTAAAGATGCGATAGTGGGTAATATGAATTAAAATGATTTGACTGGATGCGAGTCAATTTAACCGAATTCAATTTCTTTTGACTTCCTCAATTCTGCAACTTTATTAGCTTATTTAAAGTAATTGCAATTTTTACAATGAAATCACTCTTTCTGCACATTGACGACAACTTTGTAAATAAAAGTGGCATATACTCAATTCGAATCTTGAAAAGATCTAAACCGAACATGCCTTACATTCACTCATCTCTGAGTGGAGAAGTCATTTATCCCACTAAAGAAATTTTGGATGTGTGAAATTGTGCTTGTAGGCAAGGAAAAAAAAATGTCAAAAAAGCAATTTAGCCCATGCAGAAGGCTTTTACTGGCTTTTCTAAGATCATTAAACAGATTTCCTATTGGAAGAGGCAGACAATAAAGACATTAATTGACCATAACAGTCTAATTTATTTTAATAGAGTGATGTGTCATTAGTCATCAATTTGAAGGAAGTGGTACTACCTACCTCAGTTGCTCCAGATACAAATATTCCCCGAGCTTTGGTTTCCTTTATCAGTAAGTTGTCCTTGGATAAATCAAAAAGGTCCCTGAGGAATAAAAGTTCTAATAAATTAATTATAAGATGGAATGCCAGTTTCCCAATACAATATCAATATTCAACTCCACGATAACAAAATAGGCAATTGCTGATAAAAATATGGGAGAAAGTTGTATATAGAGTTAAACAGTCTTCTTAAGTGATCCAAACCTTACTCTCTCCATATATATCTCCACCTGCAAGCTCAGATAAAGAATAGTGAGTATTTTATCTGTACTATGAACGCAAAACGCGAAGTGCCAAATATATAGTCATGATAGGCCTCATACCATTGATAGGTTGATTGTATACTTGGTCATCTCATCTGAAAGTCTAATAGCACTGAAAAGGCCATCTACTACTCTAGGTAGTAACCCTTTCTTATTTTCATCACAATCCATAATGCTTGGTCCCTAAACCAAGATGGCTGAATGAGCATTGTATATGGCATGCTGGAAATATATATTCATGAACTTCTCATTACCTCCATGCTGTAAGTCTTCCCTGCTCCTGTCTGGTATAACATACACAATAGAATCTCAAAGAATAAGAAAAATAACTAGATGAACTAGAAAACCTTGACAATTCAATTATAGGAAACAAGAGTATAGAACTGCACATGCATTTAATCTTAACATCTGAGCATGTTGGTAACCTGATTTTCTCTTCAAAGACAAGTAAGATAGCTTCGGTAAATATACAAATATGCATAATGTTGGGCAACAAGCAGAGGCAAAGGAACAGTACTAACAGAGTATTTTCTCAAAATAATCAACCACTGTTAAGGCTTCCATCAGCACCCTCACAAATTCTGGACCTTATGTTAGTAGTTAAAATATATGAGAATACTTCTGCAAGAGAAAAAATGATCAGCCGACACATCTACTAGTTTTGCAAAAATTGAAAATTCTGAGTAATGCTATCTTAGTGTTTTCCCTTTAAAGTTTGACGTCATGGATAGGGGATCAGTTGCATGTTTAAGTGCAAAATCTCAATGATTCATTGATCTATTATTTCATTAAAAAAAAAATGAAAAAAGAAAAAGCACGCTGCTAATTCAGTCAAATGATTTTTTAAAGTTTCCACACAAAACAGGAGCTATACCTGACCATATGTAACGATTGCCCCATTGACACCTTCAACAGCACCTACATGGTCCAATTTATTGGGGGAAATGAAGTGAAAAACAAACCATATTCTAGTATGTGAAAAGACAATGTAAAGATTAAATACTACCTTTGACAATAGGCAGAGCAAGGAATTCATATACGTTAGCCTGCTCTGATCTTTGATAGAACACCCTATCAAAATGGAACTCAAACTCTTCTTCTTTGTCATCCTACCAAATATATTATCCAAATTCATAGACACATAAGCATTTATTATCCAAATAAAAACTGATTTTCTATATACAGTTTTTAATTAGCACAAAGCACACTTGCACTCTGTTTGTTAGAGTACATACGTTTGCATTTATTTGATCGTCAGCATTCAAACATATATCTAGATTTATTTTCTGAAATGAAAATTCAGAAACTGATAAATCATACTCGTATAACTAAATACATATACACGTAACAGATAAGCCATAAACTAAATGCATTTTCAACCTTCAATACGAAAGAATCAGAATCGACAGCGCGAATGCAAACAGTATCACCGTGATCGGAAATTTCCTTTACATTCAACGGCCTGAATAGCGCGCATACTCTTATATTTGGCATCCTTCCTTTATTTTTTCTATTGGAAATTTGATCCAAAGACTATCGCAATGAATTGAGGAAACGAAACAATATTTTGTGTTATTCTTTCAAAAATTCTGTGTAATGCATAAAACCAGCATGCTTATGCTTGATTTTATAGAGTAGAGAGACTGATAGAAAGCAAGAAAGTGAGAGGTCATAAGGAATTGAAGATTCTGAAAAATGGAAATTGGTGTTTTAGGCTTCTAGCAGAATTTTCCCGCCAATAACTGAGCTCCGATATTCTGGTTTGGTTTGCAGAAAATTGGGCGGGCCGGATATTTGCCCAACCGACATGGAGCCCATTACCAGCAAAAGCAAACAAATGGTCGAACAGTTAAAAAATAATATTTTGACCTGGACGACTCCGCTGGGGATCGAACCCAGAATCTCTGGTTCCGTAGACCAGCGCCTTATCCATTGGGCCACGGAGTCTTGATCGTTCACATGGGCAACATAATTAAATATATTAAAATTTTGGTTGTCTTGTTGACAGTTATACAACTATTCACGACTTGGTGCGAGATTGTATCAAATTTTGTAGTTGAGAAACCCACTTTACTGAAAAAAAATATATAATTATGTAGTTCTTATTAATATAATCTATCTCCAAAAATGCCAAAGCCACAAGATACTCAATTTTTTAACTCAATTCGAGATGTAATTTGAAGTTGGTAACATATTTAATACAATGTTGTGCACGTCCTTTTCTTTTTTATGTTTTTATTCAAATAAAGTTTTATAGAGTTGAATATTTCTCATAGAGTAAGTTATGCGAGAATCACTGGATCTTTAAACAATTTTAAACCTTATACTAAAAAGAAAAACGTTGTGATGACAAGCCATAACAAGAAACATCAAAAGATCAAACAATTCAAAATTGACTTTGACTTTTTCATGCATTCAGATCCATATAAAAAATTAGTTAACTAATTTTGCGTCCAATAGCTAATACATTATTCTCAATAGATTATGATATCATAATACAATATCTTAACAAACATGTTCTCGATGAAGCTCAATGAAAAATTGGAAAGAACAAAACGGCAAACATTACAAGTTCATATAAAAGCAATTAACAGATTTCTCATGGGCATCAAGAAAAACTAATGGCACAAAAAACCACATTTATTATTTTGGCAAATTTAAATTAAAAATCAAATTAATCTCCTCTGGCAACTAATGTAAGCAAGAAATCCCTATAATTTCCATTGGCTACATCTTCAATTTTGTTGGGCAAAGAGACCCCATATTTGTGATTATACTCTTGTTTAAGCAGCTTCATATCCACATCTGCTCTTGTAACAATTATTCTTGTCACAGCTTCTTTCTTCAGTTCATCAACATCAGGTCTCATAGAGGCATCCAAAACCTGAGATTAAGGATGTCTCAAAATTGTTAGAAAAAGGTAGGTGATTATAATGAAGAAGTGCGATGCTTGGTTTGGTTATTTAATTAAGTCACCTTGCTAAAGTATTCTTGAGGTTTGCATAGGCATTGAACTGTCTCTTGCAAATATAGCTCACCTTCAAGATCCTTTTGAAATAGAAAGGGAAAAAAGAAGAAGTAAATTAAGTTTTCGAATGATTAAAATAAAATAAACCAATGTTTGGCACTGCACATTCAACTATGAAGCACGGATACTAATACATACCCCCTAATTTTCTTGATAAAAATTCAAATTTGTAGAAATTTATCATTAGTAGAAAATTTTGAATTTTGGTTCATTACCTCATCCAAGTAGTTGCCAGTGATTTCCTTGTAATGGTTGTAAACTAAAGTGAGATGGGGCTTACTTCTTGTTGCAACTATCCTCACCACCTCTTCATTTTCCAAAAGATTCTTGTTACCAGCAGCTCCTTTTATGGCACTAGAAAGGAATTTGGCCTCCGATTTTGCAATTCCTTCATTGACTTTTGTACCTTCATACCGATAAGAACTCACAAGTGCAACCAAAAGCTGCCATAAAGGAGAAGAGGATACAAATTTTTATGCACAAGTGTTTGAAATATGCTCTCTAATTATTTAAGCTTTTAGATGAGTTGATTGCAAAGTTCCTAACTTCAAGTCTTGCCATCACCCTATTATGAACATTCAAGATCTTGTCTTCGATGAATACTAAATATTGTCTATAGGCAAGCATTCAAAGATATAAATAGTGAGAAACATAAAAAATTCTTCTCTCGAACATACTAATTTTCAGATAAAGGTTCAATGTTAAGTATGCGAATTTTGGTGCTCACCTTCCGTTCAGGGCCATGGATGCCAAAAGCGAGATCTTCCTCGACCGACTGGTCAAAGAGGGAATGGTAGGCTTTTCTTGCACCCAAAAGCTCGTCTGACAATCGTGTGCATGCAACTTCAACGAGTACTTTGTGTTGAGGACCCTTGTGCAGAGCCTCCTTCAGCAAACGAGCATCTCTTTCCCATGGATGCATAGTCCACAGCACAATAGCATGCTGAAAAATGGATTAACAAATCTTTAGCTAATTACACATAAATGGAATCATGGAAAGGATTAACAAATCGTTATCTTAGGCCTTGTCTGGTAGAAATTTTCTTCCCTGGGAAAATTGCTTTTCCAACCGTTAGCTGCCGATTTTGTTGACTTGTGTGAGACAATGGGACCCATGAAAATAACAAGCAACGGTAACAATTTTGATTTTAAGCACAGCCAGACAACTCCTTATAGTATTTGTACATAATTGGAATTATGCATGTTCAATGAGAAACCTTTATGGTATGGGATTTTCATTAGTTGGGCACCTATCAATCCAAGTGTAAATTGGGCTTCTTTACCTCAAGAATAATTGACTAAAATAGCACTAGAATTGATCATATAACGAATAACACTGGGTCCTTTTTTCTTTTAATCTGCCTTTCGGTGGTGGTACCTTGAATCGTAAAAACTCGTGTTGGAGTTGAATGACGTGGTAGTCATCCCAGCGTTCAAATTGACGTTCATCTTCGATGAAAAAATCACGAGTGCCTTTTCTGTAAGTTTGTCTCTGCTCCGGATGCCATTTCCCCAGTATTGAAATCAATGCCTTCTCATCAACACCAAGCCCTATATATAACACCGACAATGCTTAATTCTCATTTGGAACACGCAATTCGACTCCACAATAAACAATTTTTTTAAACTTATATTGAATAAAATTGAAAAAAAAAAGTTAAAATAGAAAAGCACCTGAGAAAGCCCTGGTTAGAGCTCCAAGCTCATCGGAGACAGCCATTATTTGTTTTCGAAGAGTGTTTTGTTGAAGGTTCTGAGTTTGAGGGAGAGAAACCTCAGTCAAGCAGCATTTTATACCGTCCGGTGCGGTTATTTTCGTCTTTTCAAAATATTTAGAAACTGTAAAGACAGTTCTACCCTAGAGAATTAAAAGTATGACATCTGACTCCCCTTTTGATTTATTTAACGGGATGCCCAAGAGTAACTCATAATTAATTATCATAATGAGGCTTAAAGTAATAACGTAATTATTCAATATTTTTATTACATATCTTTCATCTAGTTGCGCTACAATTAATTTATTTTTCTTTGCAATTAATATTGATTAACTGCTTTATTAATACAACATAAAAAATGCCATTGAATAAGCTGTTTTTCGATAAATTTATGATCGATTATGTATTTTTTTTTTTTAGGTAGTCTAATGTCTTATTGTAATATTTATTGAAAATTTTGAATTTAATAGATTATTATCAATTACATCAATACATACCTAAATTATTGTGTTTTATTGCTTGTAGCGTCGGCGACGCTACTGTCATTTTTGAACTTGAAATCAGTGAAAAATTGCCCAAGTGTTGATCTGTAAAAATTCTGTTAAATATTTTTTGTATTTGTAGCATAACTCCGATATTTTTATTTACTGATTTCATTCTTTTATAAAATGAATGAAAGGAAAAAAAGGACAGAAACTAATTCACACTAATAATTCAATACAACTAGCAATAGGGGCCTTTGAATAATTGATGATGTGAAGTTTCAACGCCATGGATATGTATGTTGAGCTACATAATGAGATGCACGAGGCTTAATAAGTGGAGCCCATAATTTAATTTTCGAAAACAGTACTTATTTTTTTTTGGAAAAGTGTAATTAAAAAGTAAAAAAATAAAATAAAATGAATTTATGAGTAAATTTATTTTATTATTATCAAATGTCAATTATAACTCAACGGTGACTTGTTATCACATCATCACAGCATTTCTAAATTATTTGACTGAATTAGTGTATGTTGGCTAGGCTTATAATGTTTATCTACGAGCTAAGTTCTTAAGTTTAAATGTAAACAAGTAATTTTTGATAAAATTGAAATAAGAAAATTGTTAATTATAACTCCTATTCTATAGCACCTTTTGGTAGTTAGAAATCATATATTTAATAGATTTTGATAAAAGTTGATAAAATATATGAGTTAATAAAAATGACAATGAGTCCCAAAAAACGTGTAATTAAAATTAGGACCATACTACGTGTACATATATGTTGACACATTGGTTTATACTCATATGAGTTGACAAATCTTGGTACATTGATTTTGACAACATATTTTTCGATCAACTGTTAGATTTTTTATGCATAGAGGTGTCAATCAATGTGTATATTTTGTGTTTACAAATAGTTTAATCCTTAAAAAGAACATTTTCCTTTGTTAAAGTGGGAAAGTTAAAGGTTTCTTAAAAGTTAAACCTCAAATTTGAGGGCCCTCACTGCCCCGTCTCTGAAGTATGGTGAGGGAGGTAAATTACGGGGTGTGCTCTAGTAGATCAGGGAACAAGAGCTTGCATGCACACTGGTGCCTACAAAGAGTCCAATTTCATATCTTAGGAATCGAATTCTCACACTGCGACTGTCAGCAAGGTTGAGATTATCTTATTCCTGTCCTTTGCATCACTAGGTAATGACCCGAGGGCGAAAGTAAAAGGTTTCATGTTTTGAGGATGGATGATAATTGATTCAGAAAAGTATTATTTCAAGTCGGTCCAGGGGCCCTAAGTTTTATTGAAGGTCATCCATTTGCATATTATGTTTATGTTATAGGAAATTTGAAGGAAAATGTCGAGAAAAGTTTTTTTTTTTAACCATTGAGAAAAATATAAAGAAATTCGAACTTTTACGATATGTTTGGTGATAATATCAAGAAAATAAACTAAAAAAAAAATAAAAAATACCAAGTATGAAGTGGTTGCTAAAGATTGATTGTAATGGATTTTCGATAAATGAGATCATTAACCATATTGACATACAACAATTAATATCTTCAAATTTATTTTTCATACTTGCGGGACGAAACCTGAGGTGAACTAAAATTTTCTTGTATTGGACTAGCATATCGTAGGGCTAGGCCAACTCTTAAAACCACCTCTACATGTTTTTTCGCTTCATCCACCAAAATCATATCTTAGATCGAGATTACACATTTAAATAACGTTAATGAATGATAATCTTTAAATAATCATTCATTCTAGATCTTGTTTTTTACTCTTTTCTCTTTCAAATCGAATAAATATTAATTTATACATTAGTGTTAAGCACGTTTGAAATAGTTTAATTATATTATTCCCAGGGTATAATCATATTTTGAAGTAATTTGAGAGTGACCATATTTGATTATCAATGTTGGGTTTTATTCAAGTCTTTCACAACGTAAAGTAATTACATACACTTAAAAGTAGAATAATTTAACTTTTTCCCTTTGGAAAATTTAATTGACGACTATAATTGTAAGATTATTTTCTCCATCGAGAATAAAAATGGAAAATATTATTTAAGTGAATAGTCATTGTAAAATTATTTAACCGTTTGACTCTCATTCTTATAAGAATGAGAATGAAAAATATAGTCGTTATGAGACTCACACAAAAGAGAAAAAGTCAAATATGGTGGATTGATGTGATGAATAACGGTCATATTTTTTATTTTTTGGGCCAAATAATAGGAAACAAACGGGGCCTTATGTGTCAATCATGTAAACTCCACTTATCTGTAGTGACAGCTATTAATTTCTTCCAACCACATCTTTTCCCCCTTTTTTTTTTCGAATTTGGCTGACTTAATTGGTGTTTGGCTGTACTTAAAAAAAGTTTATCTATAATCCATTAATAAGTGAAAAAAATAAGAAAGTACTAATTTCAATTATTGTAAACAAGTTTTTCTATTGTTAAAATTTGGAATAAGTCACTTAAGTTGATGGTAATTTTTTACTATATTATTAAAATAAGTAACTTCTTTTTTGAAAAATAAAAATAAAAATTGTAAGTTTGACGTAATTTTAAGTCAAACTAAAAGCTCTTAACAACATCAAGCAGCCCACATGAAATCATGTGTTTCTGTTAAAGAAAATTGATAAAATATTGAGATAAGTAATTTCTTGGGTTTGATCGTTAAGAAAATACTAAAATTAAACTTTTACGGTATGCTTGGTGACGAGATTAGGAAAAATAGTATTCCACAAAAATATTAATAATTAAAAAAAGTTAAATTTTCTTTCAGACGGTCTAATACGTCAAATCAAACAAACACTCAAAACGTGTGAAGAAAAGTTAACGTTACAAATTAAATTATTGTTAATGTTGAGCACACGTAGTGAAATAATTTAATGAAATATTATTATAAGAAAATCTTTTTGAGTAATTCTAGATAAGACACTTGATAATGTGGCTGAAAACTTGGTCTTAAAATAATCTAGTAATTAAAATTTAATAAGATATTAGCATAGAGCCTGTTTGGGAGTGATTTTGAGAATTGATTTTTTGATCGTTAGGAAAAAAGTGGAGTCCACCTGTAAGAGAAGAAGTCAAATATGACGGTTGAAATAGTAAAATAACGGTAAAAAAATCAATTTTTTGGATGAAAAAATGGGCCCGAACAAGCCCATAATGTTGAGCACACGTACTATACATGTGAAATAATTTAATGAGATATTATTATAAGAAAATCTTTTCGAGTAATTCTAGATAAGACAAGACACGTGATAATGTGGCTGAAAACTTGGTCTTAAAATAATCTCGTAATTAATATTTAATAAGATCATAATCCATTTTTTTTTTTTTTAAATTACATCTCATGATTTTGATCTTATCTACGGACAGAAACATAAACGACTTGGACATAAGCATTCCATGTGAATCTCTCTGTCATAATTGAATTATGTGTCCCCTTTATTAATCAAAGGCCAACAAAAAAGCGAGTTGGTGACAGAGAATTATGAGTCGATATTAAAAGAATGTCAACTTATGTATCGTACAATCTTTCTTTTTCTTCAAACAATTTTTCTGCTTGAACGGAAGTAGAAGTATCAGTATTTCAACAGATGCTGAAGTGGCAGCATCTGGATGATTTTTTATTTATTTATTTATTTATTTTTTTGCCATTTTTCAACTGAATGTTGTCACATGTATTTAGTGAAAATTCTGACAGAGAATTTCTGTACACATAGCAGTGCTATTTTTCATAAGGCTTTCAACAAAAGAAAGAGCTAAATTTAAAAAAAAAGTTCGTATTTCAATTTTGTTTAAATTGTAATATTCCATAATCAAGAACGTATGTTCCTCTTACAGTTATCAATCAAAAGGCATAGTGACCACATCCTTTATTATATGTGTACTATAATAAATGAATATGAACCCGCACCCCCTTTTTTGATAAATTATCTTTACATTCATGATATACATACATGTTCAAAAACAGGTGAGACACATGTCGATGCGTGATTAGACATTTTAAAAAATTAAAAGAAAAAGAACCAATCATTTGTTCCCAAATCAGTCTGTCTCATTCTTCCATTTTTTAAAGCTTGGCTAAGTGGCTTTATTCTTATCTTTATGCTTTTATTTAGCGATTTGATCCTCATTTTAATTTTTTTTTCTAAAGTCATTTCAACAATAAAACTCATTATCCTTTTCAACTTTTCAATCACACTTTTTATTAGTCTTTATCAAAATTTATTAAAATAGGATTTTTATAAAAACCAAGCAAGGGCTTATTGCTCGTCTTTATATTTATGGACTCCTGCAAGTTAAGACATTCAAAAAGAATATTGGTGGCTTGTGAAATATCATAATCTCATACTCTCATACATATTAAAATGTTGTACATAGAATTTGACAAATTAATCTTAAATCATTGCTAACTTCACTAAATAACAATGTTCTAAAACGCATTAATCTAGATGAGAGGAGTCTAGAAGGCATTTTATATATGACAAAGGCGATTAATCCTATAAGACTAGGAGCCAAAAAGCGCGACCAATACAAGCCTATGGCCCGAAAGATGCGATAATGAGAACCTAGGCTTCATAGGTACATTTTTATATTTTTTAGCGGCTATTTGAATTCCATTTTTAGCTAAAAATAAATTTTGAAATAATTAATTGATGGAGAATTTGTGCTTAAAAATAAAGAAAGTTCTGGGTTTTTATATGTAATATTATTTTATTGAAAAATGTGTAATTCAAAAGAAGATATAGAAAAATGTATTTTGAAAATAATGGGAATCAAACAAGGAATTGTTTATCAATTTTTAAATTTTTTAAAGTTAAATAAATTGATTAAATAATAGGAAGAATTATTATTAATATAAATTTTGTCACACACATCTTTTAAAACCTTGAAGATAACTTAGATAATTTTCCCCTGACTTCCTATATTAAGATTATTCAATAAATTTACTAGAGCCTCCTACAATCCCATTCTCTTTCGTATAATTATATGCATACCAAGTTTATCGAGTTAATAATGTAACGAATCAAATTACAGGATGTCGTTTCCTCCAACTGCTTGATTCACATATAAAATCATTTAGTTAGGTGTATTCTACACAATTATATAATATAAATAAATTTAAAATGTGTTTATGTTGCTTATTTTTTATTAAGCCTTGATGAAAATTTAAATTTAGATTTTAATTTAAATCAAAGTCAACATTTAATTTAAACACACATTTCATGGAACGACAACTTTCAATAAAATATTTCATTAACTTTTATCAAAATCTACTAAAAATGTAATTTTAATCCCACCAAATAGGATTAAATGTGGGATCCAGGTTTGGAACAAGTAATCTATTACAACCAAAATCATGATTTTCATCCTTTTGGTACCAGGTATTTTCACAATTATAGCTCAACAATGACTTGAGCAAATAAGACGTCGTTGTCTAGAGACTAGAACAATTATTTATTTATTTTTAGCTTATGTGATGAAACCTAAACTTTAAAAGTTCATTTACAACCATATTTACTCATAAGTAATATTAAATATAATTTTTTTTTTGGTAAAAGTTGATTTGTTGCTTCTTCGTTCATCTATCAAACTCCAATCATGGTTCAAATTTACGAATTAATAATAATTTCTAAGTAGTATTCAAAGTTACAAAACCACTTGTTATTTTCTAGATCTTCCCTCTCTCAAATTGAATATTTAATGGATTAATACATTATACTAAGCACGTTTTATGTAGTTAATTAATTATTCCCTCACAATTTTTTCAAAGATGGTCCCGATTATAAATTCAGTTCACATTAAGGATTTAATCAGACAGTTCAACCTATATTGAAAATGACAATCGATCATGAGTCAGCTTGATTAGTCTTTATCAAAAGTAGAATGCAATAATGTTGCACATACCTGGCTAACGAGGCATCGACTTGTCATAGAAATGACACTAATTGACGAAGAGTTAACAACCAAATATGTTATACCTTAGAAATACTTTGACAATTCTTTCTCTATAGAGATTGAGGGTACAACGCAAATTTACTTGAATGAGAGCAAAAAGGGAATGTTTTTTAGTGAAAGAATTTATTTTTTAATTCACATTAAATATCTTATACTTTTTTTTTTTTGTTAAATTACAAAATGGTATAAAATTATAACTAGATTTGAGACCCCAAAAAAAAAATAAAAATTATTATAAGCTGCATAATAATAATAATAAAAGCTTACTTTTTATTTTATTTTATTTTAACATAACCTATTTATCAGATGATGCCAATTAATAATTATTTATCCATTTCATAATTTTGGAAAACAATTAAATGAAGTTTTTGCTATAGCTTCCAACAATATGAATATGTTAAAATTTATTTTCTACTTTTTAAAGAAAATGGAGCAAAACATTCTTTACCATCGTTTAGTATTTAAATTTTAAAGAATAATAGAATAGTTAAACTGCAAAATAATTAAATTTTAGAATGAAGTGACCCAAAAAAAGAAAAAAAAAAAAAAAAGATTAAAAACAGAATAGGGAGTTGAATGGGAATGAAAGAAATGTCAGGGCCATTATAGTCTTAACGAGAATAATAAATTGCCACTCAAAGAAACTGAAACTGAAACTGAAACTGAACAGTTCGTGAACAAATTTCTCCGCCATAACTTATTAGCTTCTGTTTCTTTTGATTTCTTCAGTAGAAAAGATAACAAATTCAAAGGAAAAGCGAAACAAATGGCTACTATTAGAGCACCAGAAGTGGTTCCTTCTCCACCTGAAGACTGTGAGAAACTCATAAAAGCTTTCGAGGGTACCTCTTCACACATCCATTTTTCTTTTTCCGGGTTTTCTTTTTTTGATATAATGTTGTTAATTAATGCAAGTACTATGTTTTATTTCTTTGATTTTGTTTACGTGAATACATGAATCGTGCATTATGGTTTAGGGGTTTGTTGTTGTTTTGAAGGACTGGGAACAGACGAGAAGGCAATAATTAGGGTGTTGGGGCAAAGAAATGCAAGCCAGAGGAAGAAAATCAAAGAGACGTTTCAGCAGATTTACAACAAATCCCTTATAGATTGTCTCGATTCTGAATTATCTGGTGATTTTGGGGTACTTATTTTTCTATTATCTACCCTTTATTCATCTTGATGTATGAATTTGAAGGTAAAATTAATCCCAAATTTGAATAAGTTTTGTTATATAGCGTCAAATTTACGAATTATTTTGTGCTTCTTTGCATAATTTGAACGTTCCTTTCAATAACTTGAATTTGAATGCATTGATAATTGCTTCTATATGTGCATGTACCTAGCATTTTATTCGGTGAAAGCATGTGTTTGATAAATCAATTCGTTAGAAAGGAAATCCCATATGTGCAGATGTTTCTTAAATGCTATCGGTACTTCTATTTGGATTGGTTTTGTGTCTTGGATTTGCTCCCAAAACACTCAAACTGATGTATTTCTCAAAACAAAGAGTCCAATTTAATTTGTCACATATTTCTCAATATGTGAAGGCACAAGTTATAAGGATTTTGTCTAAATAGGGGTTATGTATTATCAGCTCTATAATGTAAATGTTAGACCAAGGAGACAGATTTCTGGTTACGAATTTTCCAAATTAAAAACGCATGTCAAAGTAATCCTTTTATCTTTACTACCAACTTGGGGGGGGGGGGGGGGAACCTCTCAACTAAAGCATTTTTTCTTAAAAGAGGCTAAATAGAAGATATTCCTGGATAGCAATGGTCTCTTCTGTGAATCTGTGATTGAGAACAAGTGGACGATGACAAAATTATCAACTATTTTCATCCAGTATTTCTATACACGACATATAAATTGTTCCTTGATTTTGGTTAGGGGTTTGTTAAATTCTCATGTTAGTTCACATAAATTTCTCGATTTCATGTTGTCAAAGCAAAGGATGCCTTAAATTTCGATCTTATTCCTTCTAAATTTTTTTTCGATGATCAAATGACAGATGGTACCCTATGCTGTCATTTATTGCATCAGATCAAAGTCATCAAACTGACATGTAAACATCGAACAGGTCTTGGTCAGACTAGTAAGTTCTTATAGATATGATAAAGAAGCAGTGGATTCCAGCATTGCCAATACGGAGGCAGTTATACTACACGATGCCATTAGAACAAAAAATTTAGATGATGATGATCTCGTGTGGATACTCAGTATAAGGAACATCTTTCAGCTCAGAGCAACTTTCCAGTGTTACAAGGATAATTATGGGAAATCCATAGACGAGGTTCAGCTTTTCATTACCACTATTTGATAATCCTCTCTCTCTGTGTTTTGTTTTGATCTTGCCTACTTGGAAATTTCTCTTCACAGGACATTAGGGCTTGTGGTAAAGGCATTTTGGAATCAATTTTAAAAGTAGTGGTTTGGTGCATAGACTCCCCAGAAAGACACTTCGCAGAGGTAATTACAAATTTTAAATTTCTGTTGATGTTATTATTACGTTTGTTATGTATATCATCTACACCAATCGGCATCACAACATAAGGCTGTGCCCTTTTGCTTTCTTGCAAAATATTAATAAATTTTTTGCATTTCCAATGTCATCTTGAAACAATCTTTGGGCTAAGGCTGCCAATTCGAGATCATCACCCTGATCCTTGTTTAACATGGATACGGTAAATATAAATGATTGAAACATTTAGTCAAGGGCGTTCGTATTTAAATTTTTTAAAGTTATTTTTAGTGAATGGACATTGGTTGCATTGGACATCCCAGGTTGTAAGAGCTTCGATTGTTGGGCTTGGGACCGATGAGGATTCATTGACTAGAGCCATTGTAACTCGAGCTGAAATCGATATGATGAAAGTCAGAGGAGAATTTTTTAACGCGAACAAATCGAGCCTTGACAATGCTGTAATTGGAGATACCTCAGGGCACTACAAGGACTTCCTAATGACCTTGCTTGGAGCAAAGATCTGATTCTATCTACCATGGCTGATTAGATGGCCAATTTCCCTTTTTTTTCCCCCTGAATTTTTGTTGTAATCAATTGATTGCCTTGGGACCATTTGAACTAAAATGCAGGTGATATGGTGTTTAAGCATTTGCTGTTGAAGTACAATTACGTTGTTTGTACATAAACTTTTTTACATTTTTCATGTCACTATAGGGGAGGCTGGGAGCACTATTTTCTTTGGGATTTCAAGGCACAATGGTACAAGAAAATAGTTCCTATATAACTCTAATCCATTAATGGACTCACTTTAAGCCCTCCCTTCAAATATAATTTCAATTAAATGCTGGAGTTAATTGTTTCAATAATTATTGAACTTAGGTCCATGTCTTTAATTAACCACTAAATTTTAAAATGTCGAGTTATGATCACTGAACTTAGGTCCATGTCTTTGATTGACCATTGAAATTTAAAATGTCGAGTTTTGGTCATTGAACTTCGAAAAATGTCGAGTTTTGGTCATTGAACTTAGATTCATGTCTTCGATTTTTCGTTGAAATTTAAAATGTTGAGTTTTGGCCATTGAATTTTGAAAAATGTTGTACATTACTCACTGAACTATTAAAAATATTATACATTACTCACTGAACTTTGAAAAATGTTATACATTATTCACTGTAAACTCGATATTTTTTAAAGTTCAATAGTTATACTAGTGAGCAACGTACGGTATATTCTAAAGTTCAGTAGTCAAAACTAGACATTTTAAATTTCAGTGAGTAATCAAAGATATGAACTAAGTTCAGTGAGCAATTGAAGTCATTGACCTAAGTTCAGTAGTTAAAACTCGACATTTTAAATTTCAGTGATCAATCAAAGATATGGACCTAAGTTCAGTGACCAAAATTCAACATTTTTCGAAGTTTAGTAGCCAAAACTCGATATTTTAAAGTTCAGTGACCATTGAAACAATTTATTCATTTTTCTGAGCATAGTCTGTAATTCTACATGCAAATGCCACTGGTCAAAAGCAATCTAAAATGCTTATAGCTTCTGAAGTTTGGGAAGCTAAATTCTTGTCTGCAGCACTAATCAATGTTTGTGTTTTATTGTGGCTTTGTTTGGCTCCAACATGTGCACAAGAGAACATGTGGAGGAAATTTTAGAGCCGCGGTTTATTCTTTTCCTTATTATTTACAAAAATTTAAAAATGGTGAAGACAATAATTGCCTAGCTATTTTTCATGAAATTAATACGATGAGAGAGATGAATATCAATTAGTCTTTAACAACCACGTATTAAGGTCACATTATTATGTTATATATAAATAAGTTATTATCTATTTTCATATAAAAAATTGAGAATTATGACCTAAATTACTTTGATATTTCTGAAAATGTAATATATTTTTCCCGTGATAACATTTCTCATGAAATATTTTCTTTCAACATAATATTTTTAAGTGATGTCATACTATGGTTCGATTATCTTTTCCTATGAGTAAAATTGATTATAGTTATAATTATTTTTTCGTACTTATTTGAGTCCAAAAAATAGAAGAAAGTTTTACAAGAAGTTGAAAGGTAAATTAGAGTGGGAGCAGGGTCCGAGTGGTCTGAAAGAAGGCAATTTTTTACCATCAAACACACGTGTACAAACTCACATATAATTGATATCTATATGAGGAATAGTTTGTCAAAGATAATTCTACTTAGAATCCTTCAAAGATATGTACACTCTTAACAATTTTTTGACAAATGGAGACTATTCGGTGCATTAGAGCATTACATCAAGAGACTCTTAAAAAATAAGATATTCTTTATTTTAAACTGTCAATCTTCATAATTATGCTCTAATTTGATAATTTTCAAGACTTTTTAAATACAATATGCTCTTTATTTAGAGAGCCAATGCTTCAATACTTACTCCTTGAATTTTTCAAATTATTTTTGATCATTGACATTTAAAACGATATGATGACAAAACAATAAATATTTCTTGAAAAAGTAAAATGAAGAGTCAAAGAAAAGAACATTTTTGGAGTGCATTAAGTATTACCCTCTAAATTTAAAGATGATCTTTAATATACATAAAATGTTATTTATAAATAAAGAGAATCTCTTGAAAATACTCTAATCTATCTATTTTAGCCTTTTAAAATAGAGGAGAGCAAAAAATAATATCTATTCTTACTTTATAGTGATTATATTTAATAATTTATGCATTTTAATACTCTACTCCTTAAATTATTCATTTACATTTAAATTACGTTTTATAAAATATGATGACAAAACAATAAAAATATTTCTTGAAAAAAGTAAAACCTAAATAGGGCAACATTTTAAATTGCTACCGAGTATTTTTATAGTGAACTAAATTTACCCTTTAAATTTAAAGATGATTTTCAATACATATAAATATTTATAAATAAAGAGTCACTTGAAAATATTCTAAAATATCTATTTTAACTTTTTAAAATACAGTGTGTTTGACTCTTCAAGTTTGAAGAGCTAAACCCATTTTCTATTTATATTTTATAGGCTATGTTTGAGCCACATTTTTTTCAAAAAAATATATTCTTAAACAATGATTTGACATAATTTCAACCACACGTTTTTCAATACAATATTATTACATGCAAATTCAAAATTTTTATTTACTTTTAACCACACATTTCTCATCAATATACTATTCAAAAATACATTCTTAGGTATATAATGTGTCTCAAACAAAGGCATAATGATTGCATATATATAGCCCTTGTTTGAGCTCTATTTTTGGGAAAAGAATGCATTTTGAATAGTAGATTGATAGAGAATGTGCGGCTAAAAATTAAGGAAAATTTTTGAGTTTGTGTGTAATATTATTTTATTGAAGAATGTGTGATTAAAAATGAGTTTTGAAAAAATGAATTTTTAGTAGAATGGGGCTCAAACGGAGTGGGTGGGTGTGTGAGTGTGTGTAAGATAAAAAATAATAAGTGATTTTTTGAAATATATAAAAGTAAAATAAAGAGCTTGCTGGAGTTTATGAGAAAAATCACTCTTTAAATTTAAAAATACATTTTATTATAACTATGCTCTTTAAAAATAAATAATCTTTTAAAGATGCTCTAGTATGGAGAATACTAAGGCCCTGTTTGAGCCTCATTTTTATCTCATTAAAATGAAAAATATGACCGTTATCCATCAAATCAAGTTATTATTTTTGAATTTCTATCTCTTGTGTGAGGTTTGTAACGGCTCTATTTTTTATTCTCATTCTACAAATAATGTGGCTCAAACAGACTCTGAATAAGTTCAAAGAAGATAATTGTGTAAAAAATTTGTTAATTGTCATCTTCAACATTTTCGTACTAAATGTTAATTCAAATGTTTTGAAAATTGCAAATCATAAATCTCTTCCAATACGGCTATAGCAAATAATAGGAATGAATACTGTTATAAAGTTATAAAGAAAGACGTCTCTATATATGAATCTATGATAAACATTTAATGTATTGAATGAAAAATATTACTCTTTTTTGAAGTTATAACGTACTTATTTAATTTGATTTTTTGATTATTAAATCATACTGGAAGAGGATTGCACCATGAAATCTCTTGTGGGAAAATGATATTGAATAGCGAGAACATGATATGACATTGGGTAGTGTCTATATTTCGTCCATGTTTGATTAAACAAAAAATTAGATTTTTAAATAGATTTCAAAAAAGTTGACGAAATATATGGTTAAAAGTTGATAAAATTGTGAATCTCATAAAATGTGTAATTAAAATTAATTGTTAATTTTGATTTCAATTTTTATCATTTTTTTATTTTTATTTATTTATTTATTTATTTATTTTTTCAACTAAAGCAAACAATTTCACTTTGGTCTTCAAGGACACCAGTTTCTACTAACTTCCTTCCACACAATATTATCCCAAAATTTTGCCAAAACATGTGGAGATAGAAGAAGGAAAATATAGTTCTAGGTAGATCCCAACTCCCAAATTTTTCTTTTATTTTTTAAATATGCATATTGATAAATAAATAATTTCTTGGTATATATAACATTATTAGTTGGTATATAAGATAAAAACATGTAATTTTCGTAACATCATATTAAACCCCCGTTTGATAGAATTATTATTATTTTGGAAAGAATGAATTTTAAAATAGTAAATTTTTGAAGAATGTGTGTTCAAAAAGTACGAAAAAGTTTTGAATTCTTGTAATGAATATTTTATTGTGAAAATGTGTGGTTAAAAATAAGTACGAGAAAAAAGAGTTTTAAAAAAATGGTCTCTATCTAGGGATGACAATTTGGCTCGGGAAAAGTCCGAGCTGGCCCAACTCGAGGCTCGTGTCTAGCCTATGCCGGCCCGCGAGCCTGAGAAGGAGGGAAAAAAAAAAAAATAGGCAGCATTTTAAGGAGGTAGCCATTAATAATAATTAAAAAAAAGAGGTAAAAAAAGCGAGCCTGCCTGGCTCGGGCCGAGCAAAATTTTTTTGACTGAGCAAAAAGCTCAAGCTCGAAAAAAAGCCCCCTCACTTTATCAGAGCCTCAAGTTTTGGCTCGCGAGCCGACTCGACTCGACTTGCCTCGTTGACATCCCTATATCTATCTCACCATCATTGAGTTGATCAACTCCCCGACTCAATCCAGTTTTGCAATTATAGTCATACTACTTGTATATCAAGTTTGACATAATGTAAATTGACAGATTTTAGTAACACTTGCCAATAAATGGCCAAATTATCTACAAATAGAGAGATGTCAAACTTGATGTCAACAACGAATCTAGAAGCAGCATAAGTTTTGCAATTATCAGTGCTTCCTGCTTATGATTGCTTAAGAACAAGGCAAATTTACTTTTATTATTTTAAAAACATGTTTGTGTATGATATTTTTTTTCTTATTTGATGTAAAACAATATTATTTATTTTGATGGTAAGATAATTATTTTAGTTATGTTAAAGTAACTTAAAAAATAAACTTCGACCAACGAAGAGTCGGTTAATAAAAACGGATTACTCATAAGCAAGTTTTTAAAGCTGACACAATACATAATGTTGAAATTTTTTTCTCAGTTCTATCAAATCTAGCATAAAAAACTGATAATGAAGTAAATAAAACTCGCCTACTATTGGGGTCAGTCATGAGATCCGATTTTCTTAGCATCTTTTGCAGCAGAGCAGCAACGATGGAAACA